CCCCCCCCTCCGCCGTGCGACTTCGCCCCGGCTGCGGGGCAAATTGTGCGGGCACTTTGCGCACATTGTTTATGGAAATCGCAGCGGGACGTTGCGCCAATGCGCCTCTTTCCGCATATTTTAGCGGACGATTACTATGCGAATGATCGCGCCGTTTTACATACACAGTGCGCTCACATTTCGGAGATCATGACACGCTCGACGGCGTCGCGGATCAACATTGTGGATCACGCCGGCGAGGCAAGGAGCAAGAGGACGCGTTTTATGTAAGAGGAATGTCGCATTAATGGAAAATGGTACTTGGGAATTGAGTAGCCGCACGTGTAAACCGCGGCCTACTCCGTAGAATTTTATCTATCGCGGCGAGATCTCTCGTTAGCCCGCGATAACGAGCGTCTCGATTCTCCGCGATCTTAGGCGGCGAGTCGCGGCCTCGTCGTCACGCGACATTTCGCGCTTGACTCCGCGCGAACGAATCCGTCGGGAGTCGGGATTTAATAGCTACTAAATTCGTCGCACAGTCGGCATCGTATATGCTGTGTCATTCCTCAGACGAGAAAGGTTTTCAGCACGTTGCTAAGGGTGAAAACTTGGTTGCGACCCAACAATGTCAGAAAACCACCTCAGTGGACTATACATGTTGATGTACACCAAAAAAATGGTGCTCATGAGAAGAAAGAAAGTGGAAAAATAAGAATTAAGAACATTTTCTGAAGATCCGCGAAGACTGGCTTTAATATATGTATGATGAATTTTGTGTGAAAATAAATCTTTGCCTCCCTACCTAAATGAAATCCTGGCTACGCCCATGCTTGTGTGTATATATGTATATAAGTCTGAAAATTGTCTAATTTTCGATCCAGGGAGTGGTATAGCATACTGGCATATATGACGCCGACTGTATACACGCGATTCGAGCGTTCTCGAAAACGACGAAAGAGCTACATCGACGACGCTATTCACACCTCGCTGACGCCCGAATCTCTGGTCCAGTGGTCTTTCCCCTCATCGAAGACAGGACTACCCGTAGGGTAGCGTGGACGAACGAGTTATTTGCTTCGCAGAAGTGATAAACATAACGTGCATGCGCAGGTGAGGCAAAAAGGACCGCGTTACTCCGGCGGAGTATATATGCACGCCCGGTTGTCCCGTACGTGCATTTATACGGTTATGCTAATTTCGCGACGTCCACTCTTCGGGCTCTCTCGGGTTTGTAATTATGTGTGCCATCTTCATATAGGTGCCGTGTCGCTCGGCGACGCTGCCACGAGCGCTCCTCCGCCGACCATTTTAACCTTCGGCCGTTGCAGAGAAACGAGACATGCAATTCGTCAGGTTTTTGCACGGGCTCGCCGTGCGCACGTTGAGGTGTCCGCGCGGCAATATGCAGTAATTGGGGACGCGGATGCAAAGGAGCGGTTAATGTTGGCGACGCTATTTTTCAAGAAAATGACATTGCGAGAAAGTGTAAAATGGGACCGTTTTTATGCGAGAACGACCGTGGGGGCTTTTCTACCTTCAGGTGTCAATCAAAATCATGCGGTAAAAACTGATCAAAGTCGGCGTACGATCGGAATATTGCGACTCGGTTTCTCAAAATGTCCTCTACAGTAAGGGCATTTTTATTTTCTCGGTAAAATGTATATGTATCAACCGTGATCATTTTTCTCGAATAAATTCGAGCTCAATGACGGTTTATTTATAAATTATTGCATCTTGCGTTTGAGAGTAAACTGGGTCACGCGATTCGACGTCGTATTTCGGGTAATAAAGTTTCATGATCTTGTACGTGCGTTCGCTCACGTTCCCTGCTAGGTGTAATTGTGATCGTGCCAATGGGAAAACGGGTATACTTGTGAATAAGAGGAAAGAAGGAAGAGCAGAAGAGAGAGAGAAAGAATCGCAAGAACGTGCCGACTGGCACGCACACAATGCCGCCCTGTGAGCTCCGAAAAGGATCGATGACCAAGTCTCACGTATCACCGTGCGACGTTGCAGCTACGTGACGAAAGTTTCGTCAGAAGGCATGCAACTGGTGTCGCGTAAACGTTTGATTCATCCTAGCGGAATATTGCGCTATGTGCATGTATGTTAATCAATGTTGATATAATGATATTCTTCGATAACATATTTCGTCTAAAACTCTAGTTTTATATTACCTACGTCAAATCTGAGTCTATATTTTGCACAACTTATTACATTCACATAGTCACAATTGCGTCATTTATAAGTTGCAACAAGTATTTTTGATATCATTAAATGACAGGCAATTGAATAATACGTGACAATTGAATAATATGTGTCCCTTTTAATTTTTAATAAACAGAATAAAACAATTAAAAATAATGGTAAAAAATATATAACCAATATATCAATCAGTATTGCGAACGGATATGCATACGAGCTGTCTCTCACGTATTTTCTTTTAATGCATCATATTGCATCGTCTATCAATAAAATGCAAAATATTTTGTTCAAAAAAGTATAGTTAAGAATATTAAATTAATTTCGATATTCCTTACGTTCGGAGACGTCAAGGCGGATTTAACTTCGCCGATCGCCATAAAATGTCTGTGCTAAAAACGCGACGGTTACTATTTGGACGTTGATTCCAGAAATACATTCGACTCAAACTCTCCGACGTTCCGGCAACATCTCGCGATTGGTGAATCCACGGAGAATACATGAGAAGAAAGTATCGCCAGGCTGGGGATCGATGTCGAATACTACCTCGAGACGTGCGTGAGGTTGCGTCATTTTGCGCGTGCGTATACGTCATGCTTCTCTCTGTGAAATCTTGCAGCACGTACCACGTGCTTCGAGATAGCCGCGTTCACTATTCAGAGTTTTTGCTATTTGCTAACAAGCTTTGAAAAATTATTCTATAGACTCGATCGTTAATTTCCGGCTTCCCGGATTATCGAAACAAGTAGCCGCCATGATCTCGAGTATCTCGCAATATTTGTCGCTTGTGGAAAGTATAAAAGGTGGGGACAAGGTCACCTTAACGGATCCGCACCTCCGAACTGTCAGTTCAGTCAGTAGTATAGCAGTGTACCGGCTGCAAAGCGCTCAGTCTGCGTTCGACGTTTTCAAAGAGCAGTGCTCGCATTGACATAGTAATTCGTCCAGGTTAGTGTGAAGATTCTTTTGGAAATATATCACCTAAAACTACTTTTAATTAATTAACGATATAACAGTAAAATATACAACGTTAGACTGAAAGATGACAGAGAAAGATGATTTCCCACGGTAAAATTGACTGAGACAAGCTCTTCTCATAAGATCTAATCGCCATGGGTATTAACTGCTAATATTTGCATTCGATATTTCTAACGTGACGGTTAAAGTTTCATTGTTTTTTTTGTGTGTTTCACGTTTTTTTTTATCTGATTAGTCATCGAGCTCGCTATCAGCCTGAGCTTATTATCTACGATAAAACGTCACTCGTGTGATATTATCGTCTACGTTACACTATGTACCGTTACTGTTGGTACATCGCGATTTATTACTTTCTGCCCTCCCATACAAAGTGTAGCGAGTTTAATGATACCGGGGCTCCGCACGCTCGTCGTTGCTCGATTATATCTCGCCGGTTAAGCGCTATTGGCGATCTATGATTAATGAGTAGTCGACGATCCATGCGAGCCGATCCATAATTAAATTCCGACGTACTCCGGCGTCCATATTTTTTTCCGCTTCACACGGTTCGTGCGTTTGCATCCGATTCGAGAGGATGTGCCACGCTTGTCTCTCACGAGATGCACACACGCTTGCCCTATCGTATCGTTACCGCCATCTGACGACCGCATGCACCATCCGTTGCATCTCTACGCACGTGCAGCGGCAGAAATTACGTGATACATCTCGCAGCGACATCGCTCGAAACGGCATTTGCCGACGCTGCGCGCGAATCCTATAAAAAGACACGGGCGCTTGCGATATTATTAACGAGGTTCTTGAACTCGTGTTAACGCTCTCACATTGAATTTAATTCAACGAACGAACGCACAAGGAAATTGTCTCGCCGAAAGAGCCCCTTTCAATAATAGAGACGACCGAGTCTTCACGCGTAGCTACAACCCTGCGTGACTCTTTTGACCTTCACGGTGTCTCTCAAGCTAGTATTAATTTTTCTGACATATTAATTTCAATTCCACCATATCTATTTTTTTTTTCATAGAGAACAAGTGACGAAAAAATCGATGAAATAATGTTAATAATATTCGATAAAAATGTATATTTTTGAAATGTCACGTAGATATCACTGATAAACTATTCTTTCTGATTTCACAGAAGATGGCAATGTTGAAGGATCAACTGTTAAGCACCGTGACGGAGCCGGTATTAATCGGTAGAAATAAAATCACGGTGGTGGGTGTTGGCCAAGTTGGAATGGCCTGTGCTTTCAGCATCTTGACAAACGTAAGTTATTATTAGGTCAATAATCGATGAATGTACACGGTGAAATTTTAAATAAGTTTCAAATAAGATTCCCATTACAGAATGTTTCGAGTGATGTAGTGTTAATTGATGTGATGGCGGATAAATTGAAAGGGGAGATGATGGATTTGCAACACGGTAGCGCGTTTCTGAAGAACGCGAAAATCAATGCCAGCACGGATTACGCCGCGACCGCGAATTCGAGCATCTGCATCGTGACAGCGGGTGCTCGTCAACGCGAAGGCGAGACCAGGCTGGATCTGGTTCAACGTAACACCGATATCTTCAAAGGCATCATTCCTCAGTTGGTGAAATATAGTCCAAACACGATACTTCTGATCGTTTCTAACCCGGTGGACATTCTGACGTACGTGGCATGGAAACTTTCTGGCTTACCGAAGAATCGAGTTATCGGCAGCGGTACAAATTTAGATTCTGCTCGATTCCGCTTCCTGTTATCGCAAAAACTCAACGTCGCGCCTACATCTTGTCACGGTTGGATCATCGGAGAACATGGCGATACTAGTGGTACGTCAAATATCCCTTTTTTTTTTATTTAATACTATGCAACACGATAAACATTAAATGACAGCATAATTGAATGCACGCAAAATAGTGTGTTGTGAAAATGAGAAAAATATTTTCTATATCTTCGATTTTTTATGTAGAATTATTCTGTCATTTTGATTGCTCCAATTATGACAAAATAGATCTCTCAGGAAGAGAATCACAAACTTATCACTATAAGAGATATTTATTTCTGTCAGTGCCCGTGTGGTCTGGAGTCAATGTTGCCGGAGTACGTTTTCGCGATTTATACGAGAACGTGGGCACCGACAAAGACAAGGAACATTGGGGTGATCTGCATAAGCAAGTGGTCCAAAGCGCATATGAGGTGATCAAACTTAAAGGTTACACCTCGTGGGCTATCGGTCTCAGCGTATCGCACCTCGCATCAGCGATGCTGAGAAATTCGAACCAAGTGCATGCCGTGTCCACACTGGTTACTGTAAGTCGACAATATAGATTTCTACAATATTATTTTATAGTAGCTTATTTTACGCAGGTAATTCTGCAACGAAATTTCCAAAAGATTTATGTTTTTATCAAGCTTTTTAAAGTTTCGTGATGTTATTATCTAAACAATTACCTGTGTTTAATATAAAACCGTGTAATATTTCGTATATTTTTATAAATATCTCTACCGGTCTTTTATTCTTTAACAACGTAAAGTATCCTTTAATGAAATCATATTTACTTAACCCTTTGCACTCCAGCCTAATAATGCATAGAGGCTATTAGTTCCAAGTACATACCTATGATGTAGAAGAAAAATAGAGTCGTTTCAATAAAACAAAATTTTTATTTCTTAGCTATTTTATAACAAAACATATTCTAACTTATATTATAAAAGAAAAACATAAATTTTAGGACTTAAAATTTCTTAAAGTGCCGAGGCAGCAAAACAACCATGTCGCCGCTACGGCGACAGCGGAGTGCAAAGGGTTAAATTATTAAAAACTTGTTAGTATATTCTAAATAAATAATTGATTAAATATATATTATTGACATTTTTTATTAAAATTAAGTAATATAAATAGTCTTCATAACGAAAGGAGAAGTTATATATATATATATATATATATATAATAGGGAATTTAATTATTTTAAAATAACATCTTCACTAAATTCTAGGGTCACCATAGAATCAACGAAGAAGTATTTTTATCTTTGCCTTGCACGCTGGGTGAAGATGGCGTTACGCATATAGTTCAGCAGAAGTTAACAGATGAAGAGCTTGCATTACTGCAGAAATCTTCTATAACGATGCATGAAGTGCAAAAGGGTCTCAAATTTTAGGACTATATAATTTTATATTATTTGCGTATTTCTATTGTCATGTTTTATATTTTATTCATTCAATATATTTATCTTAAAGTATGTGTAATGATGCTTAAACGGCGACGAAACAATAGATTAAATAATTATATAAGTTATATACACGTACACGTATCAAACAAATGCAGTATTATGCAAATTTACTTAACTTTTATAGCCGTTGCTAAATAATTATTTGCATGCGTATTTTGTACAAGCTCTATTACACACGTTCTATGATTGAGTAATAAACATTCTTATTATGAATATTTATGCGTATTTATTTATATGTGCGTTAATAAATGATCCTAACACATTGTATTATTCGATTTAAGATAATAAATGTCGTGACGAACATCCGTTTTCAACATCCATTTCTAATCTAACGTAATATTTTTTTGTATAATAAAATACTTTTAAATTGCATATCAATAAATCATATAATTTCATGAGCACCTGTTATACATGAATTGGTCATCTAACAAGCTGAACCGAGACTCAGTAACCATGGATGCGTTTAACAATTGGCGAACCAATATAATGGCGGTATGACATAAGGATGTTATGTCAGCCGCTTATCAATGTACTCTCTCCTTTCGAAAAAAAAACGATCCCATGCGATGTAACGAGTGCGAGGGAAAACGATCGTGCGACGTTTGCTAACTCGACGAGTGACAGAAGCAATGGTTTCATCACCTCTACTGTCAAATTCATCGTTACCGTTATGCTTGAGGCATTTCGTACGGTTTACGTCGACGCGTGATTTCGTCAGGAGCCGATCTTTACGCACTTTGCCGCCGACGATCTTGACGGAAGTTCTCGGACGTAATAAGGGAAACCGTTTTGGGAAGGATGCGACCGCGGGATCGGATGCACAAGGAGCACACAATTTCACGTGAGCATTCCTCGTTACATCGATTAATGACGATTTGTTATTTGGGATGAAATGTTGCGCATGCAATAGAAAATTTACTTCAAGATTAATTTAACAGCAGATTTTTCGTTTGACCGCGCTCAAATATTCAAATATTATAAATATTCATGGATTAAATTGTAAAGGCAAATGAGTAAAAATATATGACAAATATTAAATGCCGACGGAAAAAGTTATTCCTAAAAATTATGATATATGCATTTTCAATAAAACTTATTTATCATAAAAGGTATACACGAAAAATTGTAATATTTCATTTATATTCATTTGTCATTCTGCAACTACAATATAATATTTTATTAAAGATATTGAAAGGAATTGAATTACTCAAATTTCAGTACGCCATGTTTGCGAGAAGAGCTCCTTTGCAAGTTAGCGGAGCCAGTTAGAGATTGTTGCCACAAAGTTACTGTTGTAGGTGCTGGTATGGTCGGCGTTGCTGTCGCCAATTCGCTTCTCTTACAGGTACCGTGATCCTTCATACCTTTCGAATAGCCCTTGGGGGCCGTTCGAATTCCACTTGTTTCGAATTGAAGTGAAAGTTCATATATTATGCGAGTGCACTTAATGGAATGCATACTATCAGACTATATCGTAATAATCATATTAGTTCTCAATTACACATACAGTTTGTAGTATGTGTTACAAAAGAATAGAAATATTCGCATACGATCTGTTGGTGATATACATTTCATTGGCTTTTATTATCGTTTTAAGAGAATCACTTCGCATATCGCGATGGTAGATGCCTTCCCCAAAAAACTGGAAGGCGAAGGAATGGACTTTGTTCACGGCTCTGTTTTTATGGGAGATCCAAAGATCGATTACGATACTGGTAAAGGACTTCTCAAATTCTCGCGTTAGTTGTAAAAATACTACGTGATATCATGAGTGATGTAATGAAATTTGCATACACGACTGGAAGAATCGTAATTGTGATTCGTACTTTGTACGGGTTTATAAATTCGTTTGCACGAAGCCGCATTTATAATTCTCCTTTTTCGTCAACATCCGAAGGTGAACGAAAGAATGATTCTTTCGCAGATTTTTGCGTGACGAGAAATTCGAAGGTCGTAGTGGTCGCCGCGGGTGTCCGGCCGGTAAAGGGAGAGACTCGGCTTGATTTGGTTCAAAGAAATATGGAAATAATGAAAAGTATAATACCGCCGCTGGTGAGCTACAGCCCGAGTGCGGTGTTCGTCGTCATCAGTAATCCAGGTTAAAATTGACTTAATTTGTTAAATATATATCAATAAACGTTTTTGGCACAGTCAATGTATATAATATAAAAGCAACAGAATATCAAAAGTTAGAAATTTGCAAAGTTTATGTCGCATGGTGCAGTGAAACACAACATATATTACGTCACGTTAAAAATTCAAGCGCAGCGCATACACCACGTGAAATATTTTTTCTCACAGTGGATATTCTGACTTGGATCACTTGGAAACTAAGCGGACTCCCAGTCCATCAGGTAATCGGTAGCGGAACCCATATAGACAGCGCAAGATTTCGTTACCTGATCGCCGATCGACTAGGAATTGCACCGACTTCGGTACACGGATATGTCATCGGCGAACACGGGGATAGTCAGGGTGAGTTCAGCGATCGCCCTTTGACATTCGACATTAAGAGAAAAGCAATATATTACGTACGTAACAAAATCCGATCTAACATTTAACATTTCCTAGTTCCGCTGTGGTCTGGAGTGAACGTCGCAGGTGTGCAGTTCCGCGACATAATCCCGAATATCGGTCTAGATACGGATGACGAAAAATGGAATGAAATATCGAAGGAAGTCGTGAGACTGTGAGTCTGATAATTCAAATCGTCGAAAAAAGTGCTACATTCAAATAATATTTACTTTATCCAAGTAAAAATTTGCTAAAGGGAATGCTGAAATAATTATTTACTATCAAGCACTTTTTTTTTGTGTATCAAAGAAAAACTTGCGCTCCCACACCCCTTCGTTTTCTCATTAAATATTAATATTTTTTTCTTTTATTAGAGGCGCCATGGTGCGATGTTTGAAAGGATATTCAAATACGGCCATTGGACTATCCGTAGGCAACATCGTATCGGCGATATTAAATAATACGCAAGCGATTATACCAGTTTCGACTTTGATCAAGGTATGTATGTACTAACATGTGTTGTCAAACTACTCTCATTTCACTGATACTATTCACATTATTCATGAAGAAAAAAAGATTTTTATAGCTAATAAATAATAATAAACGATTAATGTTTCGCTGAAATAAATCGAAGTGAATTCCACAATGTTGATCGCCCGAATTTTTTCAAAGGAATTACTAAAGCATTGAGAAACCCACTTAGTTGAGTCAAACAAAGTCCTTATTTAGGTGCGGACAAACAAGTATTTTGGTTGTGAAAGTCAAAATTTAGTTCTTCGAAATGAATAAGGTCTGATTCAGAGAACTGAAATTTTGGTTCAGAGAACCAAATTATAGTAATTTCTCACTACCAAAACACCTGTTTGACTATGTTCAAGCGAGCATTTTGTTTAAGTCAATTAAATGGGTTTTTCAGCGTGCGCAAGCTAAGCAAACGCGCAAAATTGTAACATTTTAAGCGAAATTGTAGCATACTAAGCGAAACTGTTTTGCTTTCCCCAGGGTCATCATGACGTGTGCCACGAAATATTCCTGTCTTTACCCTGCGCGATCGGCGAAAACGGCATCACGCAGATCGTACGAATGCGTATAACCGAGTTCGAGAAGAAGCTGTTCCAGACTTCGGCGAACGTTGTGCACAACGTGCAGAAGGACGTCAAGCCTTGAGCGCACGGGCGCGGAAAAGTCGTTGCACGAGCTCGTTTAATTTCCTTTTGTAAAAATAGTACCATCAATTATTATAAATCACACGTAATTGGTCACAACGCCTCGTCCCGTTACAATCGTCGCCGCAAGACCGTTCGTCGCGCGGGACAATCGAATTCACGTCTGGCTCGCGCGACCGCAAACGCTCCGATTGCTAATTTATGCAAATTAGGAAGAAGATCGCCGATGGATTCTTTGAACCCGGCTCTCCTCGAATTCTGCGACAAAGTTCGAGGGAAAGCCTCTCTTGAGGGAACGACCGTGCGAGCGCGTTTGCGCCGACGATCGTCGGCTGTTGAAATCCGATCGGAGATTCGATGACGTCAATGACCTATTCTACGGTATCTAGGACACACGCTTTTATTTGTACAACCTGCGTAAGTTGCGCTCTTTCTTTTTTCCCATCCGTGCGAGAACACTCTCGTTGATATGTGCGTTCGATTTTTGGATTTTCCCGTTACGTTATGGAAATCGCGTCGACGAAACAGTGAGAGTGCGCGTATTGTACTTCCATGCGAACAGGAGCGAAAGGTGATCGGTGGATGGTACCAGAAGGTCGCGATCACGCCGCAGGCTAGGCCACGGCAAGGTGAGAGGAAGGTGTGATAACCGTGCGCAAGATGGCGCCTTCAAGTTGCCCGATGTCTGGTGCAACACCCATGCATCCACCTGTGTGTTTGAACGGGCTCAGTGCCGTAGAAGAGAGCGATATTTCGCATCGAATATCCTCCGAGTAGGAATAATGTATCGCGAGTTACGGAGAGATCCTTGCGTGTACTGATTTATCGTCCATCTGCTACGGTGTAATTAGCTATGCTAATGATAATGACACTCACGTATACACACGAGCGCTATTATCGGCGATGGCAAAATGGAAGATGCCGTGTGATTCAGCGCGAACGCGCGAGACGAGGAGCGCGTGAAACGTGGAAACTAACGACGATATTAATATCGCCAAGATAGCGAGAGCGTGAACGCGAACTGAACGTTCCCCTTTTACTCGCTGCGGATTCACTTGAAAGGCCAGGCATGTCATTGATTTTGAAAGAGGAATTCCGCGTGAAGCATGTGTCACAAGTGCCTTGCGACAGAATTACGTAAATTCATCCAGCTCCAGACGGCTACGTGACCCGGGCTTGACACGGGATGACTTTGACACCGGCGTGCGATTCGGCGAGGGGGAAGAGAAAGAGAGTAGCCTCAGGGCTTCGGCAGATTGCTTGACTTCTAATTTTCAGCCAATCTTTTCTATCCTAAATCTTTATCTAAATTATTGTTCACTTTTTTCTTATACAATGTTTGTCATCAATCGCAAACAGAGCGGCTTTTTAGTTTAAGACGCGAGACAGAACACAGTTATTGTGTATTATTTAAAAACAAAAAGTTAAGACATAAAACATTGTCTTAAACCGACAAGTCAGCCACTCTGCTAAGTCCCTTACGGCGAATAACGAATCGTTGAGAATACGAGAAGCACGGAGATGAAATCGGTGCTCCGAGTGTTTGCCATGTTGCTCCCGCAATTCGTCTAAAACACTGTCTAAAACGCCGCGTCGAATCAAACGTCGATTGTCGACGGTCGCAGGCCGGCTCCGTTCTATCCTCATTTCTCAATCGCTGGATCTTCTGCGTACGTTTGCGTATCTTCCTGTCGGACACGTGTTGATTTTAGAAGTTTTATTTCGCTCTCCCGACCGATGCTTTGAACAGCCTTTACGTGCGCTCGACGGTTGCACACCGTCGACTTGACGCATCGTGAAAATCCATCTCGATCACGTCGAAAAATCCGAAAGACAAACGTTCGGGGCTGCAACAGGATCGATCTCGAGAGAGTTTGAGCGAGAGATGAGTTACTTGCACTCGACATTTAACGTTCCTCGCGTCCACCGCAACGCGGATTGCTAGTTTGCGCAACCTCGCCGTCTCGATCATCTCTCGACGAAGAAGCCTACAAGACCGTATTCTGCGAGAGCGTAAAAAGGCAAGCATCGTCCAATTTGAACATTAGCCCCCCCGTCCGAGGCACCCACGACTCCGAGGCCCGCGCAGGTAAGCGGCTTCGATTCGCGAGACGGGTTCCGCAGGTGACGCTCACACTCCTGCCTCCCAGGTGGAGGTGGCAGGCCGGGCCCCGTTCTCCGTTTGGTCCCGCCGTCCGTCAGTGGAGTTCAGTCAGTAGACAGTCGGTTCGCCCGGTCAGCTGGTTCCGTCCATCCGCGCGTGAACAGAACTTCCTGATGGTAAACCCATCGCGAGCTATCAGGTAAATCCCGGTGAGCTTCCTGTCCCTTCCCGAGGTCTCCCCGAGCGATCATCAGCGATCGGAACGGATCGGCGGCCCGCGCGCCGCATGTGCGCGAGTGTACAGCATCTCCACCGGAAACACCGACGAGCACGGTGCGCGAGGTACGTCCAGGTCGTCCGTAGAAGAGGACGAGGAGGAGGAAGAAGAGGATAGCGTGTCGGGAAGGAGAGTGTGCTCGCGGTCAGTCAGGAAATGACTATATCGTACGCGAGCGAAGTGCCAAACGGCTCCAGCTTTGGCTGCTTCTGGAGGATTCTGATCAAGTGAGTTTCTCGTATCGGAGCCTGCTCGTCGCAGAGCACCGCTCGCTGAATGAACGCGCGCGGTTTCTCGCTCGACGTCCAGCCGCCGGAGCTGTCAACTCGGTTGGCCGCTGACAGGTGGGATAGATCGTGTCGACGAGCCTTATGGCGAGAGTTGTCTCCGGGTTCTCGCGATTCCGCTCCTTCCCAGACGGGGTTTGTTATTTCACTGACGGTCGTCTCGCCGTTTATTGGCGGAAAGAAAAACACGCTCCTCTCACGTGCGGTGTATCTTTCCCGTGTCGTCTGCAGCTCATCTTTCGCTTGACCCCACGCGGGGTCTCGATGCATCCTCGTGAATCCCATTACTTGTAATCGGCAGCACGAGGAAACGCATTCTTACTTTCGCCGGGTCTCGTAAATTGGGTTATGGGTATTTTTAACCGAAACCCGAACATGTGACCGGCTGTCAACGTCGTCACGATTACGCCGACTCGAACGTTGCAAAACGCGTCGCGATTTCGTGATATGAATTCGACAAGAGACATCAGAATGTATCGCAGGATCAGCACGGTTTCGTCATGTGCCTTCGGCGCGGAGTGGTCCACGAAATTAGACCGCGCGTCTCGAGGTCTGTACAGTTAGTTCGCTATGTAAGACGTAGACATTGCGCTACCGCGACCAGCTGATCGGATTGTGCAACGTTTTACTTTCGACTCGATTTGCCGCGCGCTCTCGATTTACAGCTCGGCTACGTAGAAAAGAGTGAAAGACCGGGCAAAGATTCGGCGGATAATTTCGCCCAACAACGTGAATCGACATCCATTGGGCACGCTGGTGACCGCGGATGTCACGATCGGGAGCGTCCAATCGCTCACGGGTAGGTCGAACAATTTCCAACAATCGCGCAAAAATGATCGCAAAATTCGCATGGACGTTTAGCGAAGCCGACGCTCGCAAGCGTCCCAAATTTTATTCGCCGCGTTCAGAAAACGCGATTCGCTTGAATCGCAGTAGCGAGGCACGTAAACCTGCTAGCACAGAAATGGTGCTCGGGCACCGCTTGCTCGCGCGTTTTAAGGAAATAAGGTCGTCGATACATCGATTTTAAACGTAACGGCGCACACGGCCGAGCTCTGTGTGCCCGGAATATCGCCGCTGAAAATTATTGCACTGCCCGGGTCGGTACGTCGCTTATCTGCTACGCAGTGGATAACAACGGTAACGGTTTGTCGGAGGGATTGACATGACAGCATTAGCCGGGCACGTGTTTAATCGAACCACTGATACGCACGTGTAAAGGGATCGTATGCTAAAAGCGGAGCTATGTGACGACATCGCCCAAGTTGTTTTATTCGAATGGTTCGTCGCGCGGAGGTTTATGCGATACGACACATAAATTATGACATCCGGTCTCGCAGAGTTTTTGTTCCAAGAGAATATGTTGTAAAATATTGACTCGGGACATAGATTTGTGTTACTTCGTTAAAGTACATTTTTCGATGATACAGCGTCTTGTAAAATTAGACCGACAAACTTCGAATGCTTATAAAGAACGTCAAAACAATTAATTTTTGTCGATAAACCTAATTTGTTCTCCATGTATATTTTTTCGCAATTGAGCCGTTTTAGCACTAGCGTGTATTATTTACAACAGTTGTTCGAAATGTTTATATCAAGCTTTCCTAGAAATAAGATGCATATCGGCAAGTTCATCGAAAGAAAAAAATTTCTATTTCGAAAACGATTTTCAGGTAATAAAGAAACATTGTGATACTGAACTCGCGAGTCAATAACAAACAACGCTAATTCTACGTATATAAAAATCCCCAACAATTCTTAGTTTGATAAAACAATTTTTATTAATGTTTTTTATCAAGAGATAGCAACGAAAACCGGGACCAGGAAAAAAATGGTTGATATTTCTGTATTGAAGTAAATGGCCAACACTTTGAACAACTGCTGTAAATAATTCACTCTAATGCCAAAACAGTTCGAACATGTTTATTGACAAAAATTACTTGTTTTGATGTCTTTTATAAGCACCTGAAATTTGTCGGTTTCATTTCAAGACACCTTGTATATGAACACTCGTATAATACATTGGCAGTGATAGATATTAAACGTCAATACGCTAATTGGAAATTATGATTAATTGTCATGTGAAGTTTCACTTTTTTCCTTATATATAAAGTATCTTCGAATGTGCTCTTCGATATATATTTTCATACCGATAATACCGAATGTTTTGAAAGAAGCCGTATCTTGTCTACACAGTAACGGAACGCGTCATGATTATCCGTCGCGGCGGAACTCCAGAAATGTGCTCCATGTGAGCAAGCCTCGTTCGTTCATGTCGTATTTTTGCCATTTTAATTACAGTACAGCTACATTAAAAATTCTTAGCCCGAAATCCTGCTATGTCAAAGTCACTCACATTAAGGCATTGCATAACTATACGCGTAAATCGGTGACATCAATGCTTGTCAAGAACGTCGGCGAGACTCGGTATCGGGGATTACACGCCAAATTAAACGTTACACAACCCGGCTTTTTCGAGGAAAGAGAGTTAACACACTATTTCGTTGTCGGGATATTCCAAGATATTTGAGCATAAAGAATGATCGGTGAAAAAAATTTCCAAGGAAACGGTAAGCGGAATCACTTGGCTAAATAAAATTCACTCGACGATACGGACACACAATAAAACCGTTCGTTCCGTCTGCGCACGGACATTTTTCAAACATACACATGAAACGCAAAATACAAACCTGCCTCATCGTACTTGTCGAAATAACAGAGAAAAGAAAGAAAGAGTGAAAGCTTGGACGAAGGTTGCATTGTTTACAAATAACAAAGCACTGTATCTCTTCGCGCATGAAATTTCCCCTTCGTGTCTCGCCGATAGCCGAGAAAACCATAAACCATAACCTATAAACCAATGTGTAAATGGTATTTTAAGTTTGTGTGACACTAACTGCCACCGGCAATACGAACGATTCGCGAAAGAGCGCTTTATGTTCGCGATACTTATCAACGAGTTTGCAAAATATTCCTCTATATTGTATATTTATATTGTCGGTTATAAATAAAATAAAAGTTTACACAGCATGCATAGTATGCAAAGTGTATATATTTAATATAAAGGAAAGTAAATTGTGCACAGAACAACTCGCTCGCGCAATTCTACGTGTTAATACGTCCGACAGAAATAAAACTCTGCTGGGAGGAAAAATATCGTTCACACAAAGGCGACGATTCTCTCCCATCTGCGCTACACATATATATATGTCGTATCGCGTAAAACTCAGGTATGTGCACATAAAAGACTCGAGAACGATTTACGCGACAGGGTGAAATGATTTCGATGAATAATGGCGCCATCCTATTGCCATTCACAGCGTCCTTGTCGAAGCCCGTTTGTTGACATTTCTACGACCTTTACACACGATGCGTCGGTGGATGCTCCCTGTTCTCGGTTTCTCTTGGGTCCGCGAACGGCACGATGGAAACGGCCTTAACGGCTTTCACGTAAGATCTCGCTTTCCTATGCACGTTATACCACAACATCGCAGTAGTTAAAGGAAAGACGACAGCTGCTGGTCTATAAATACGCCAGAATGTCCAGGAATAGAAAATCTTTCGTGATAGCGTGCAAACGAGAGCGCGTACGCGAGTTCTCCGCGCGCGCGCCGAGTCGGCTCTTAGCAGAAATTGTGATTAGATATAATTTGTGGAGAAAGGAATGCTCACATGTTTCCCTTCTTGGAATCACAGGTGCTCTCAATTTTGACGATTACCCAATCGCTTTCTGCTCTCTTTATACATACAATACGGGCGGTCTTATTAACTCCTGAGTATTTACGAAAATATAACTGACCATTGCAATAAGAGCGTGTTTTTCAATAATTCTTCAGATGTAACGCGCGCAATTAATTTGTTTTTAATTGAAACGACATATCGATTCGTGTGCGTGTGTATGGAAGATTTTTATTGCACATTTGAAGGATAGATTCTTGCACCATTAAAAACTCAATGCTCGTATGTTCGCACACAGCGTATAAGCGAAATGAGCGTAAAATGAAATAGAAATATGAATAAACGAATGAAGGAAAATCGCTTTGAAATTCAACAGCAAATGAAAAAGAAACGTGCGTACGTGTGGAGCGGTCGTGGAACACACTGCCTCCGAGAGCGTTTCTCGACGGCGCATCGTCCGTAGGCGCCGTCGCGGTAGCGATGGAAAAATGATTCGCGGCTACTCTAGTTATTAGTAGAGGAGCCGGGTAATCCCGCTTCGGCAGCGTTTCATTGCCAAACGTTTTGCTCCTTTACAGACACAACGAGCACGCGAGCACGCTCCTTTTTCTCGTCCGAGTCTTCCGCGGTGACCCATACCAGCTTTCTTATCCGCCTACCGGTGCCGCCGGCAAAAGGAAGCAGTACGATCGCCGATCTATAAATACCTGAGAGAGCCCGGAACGTACTATAAATACGTAGCCAATATCCAGGAATAGAAAATCCTCTTACCTGCTTTTCCAGTACACTGATAACGATCGAGTGCGGGCGAATGCTCGCACGTAGAGCAGATCTGTTACGAGGTTAATGATGCGATCGTTAGGACGATTTCTGTTGCGCCGTAGAAATAGAAAAAGAGAGAGAGAGAGAGAGAGATACGTTCGTCATGTACGTGCATGGCTAAGGGCCAATAATTCCCTCGACTTCTCCTGGAGGTTTTGTGCTGATTCGAATGTCATCCTTGATCTGCTCTCGAGACTGTGACTTCTTTCGTTCGCTTTCCTCTACGATATCTATACCGACGACAGCACTCTCTCCGATATTACCCGAGTCGAAATTTTAAATTCTACATTAAATTTGTTCATCAATGAAACAAACGGCAATAACTTCCCCATTTATAGAAGACACAATAAAATATCTTCAAATATTTAACATAAAACTAAATTAGACTTAAAGTAGGATTAAAATTTCGACTCGGGTAATCATCGTTTCTTATAGTTGCC